AGAGTCCTCCACCGAGAACTCAAGCGGAGCTGTGCCTGGAAAGCTGACCAGCCTACACCGCGACCACCTTGGGTGTAAGTAAATAATCTTTTCAATCAACCATTACGCCTCCGTGACTGATTCTAGCTCGAGCGTACCAAACCGCACCGCGGTTTTCTCCAGCCCCGTGTACCCGGGCTGCCAGCCACAGCCTGTGTGCACAAAGACGGGCCCAGCTCGCCCCCGGCTCGCACATGGCGACCCAGATAGGATTGAGAGAGAACTCGCACATGGCGATCCAGGTGGGATCGGGAGAGGGCCCGCACACTTACCAAGCTATTTGCTTCAATAACAGCTTGTATAAAAAGTATTTTCTTTCATCAACTTTAACTTTACTGCCTATGTAGATGAGTGCCCCCCTGTTGTAATGTAATGGAATAGAGTAAACAAGAGCGCTCACCTGCCTTTCAATAAATGGCGTCCTTTTACTTCTCTTTTTGTAATCTTTGCAATATGTTAGAGATGCATTGCTTACCTTTATAGATGCCACACTGCCAGGTCTTTATAATATATTTGTTTAGGCAAGGAAATTATTTTCAAGATACTAAGTAAAAACTTACCAGTTAATAAACTAGAGTCACCAGTCTACCAATTATTTTAGTTCAAGATTCTTCAAGTGATGAATAGAGTTAAAGAACCTACACACAGCAGACCATGAGCCAAAGTCTAAAGTGATGTTTGCCAAAGCATGTCAGGATACTTAACAAGACAAGACCCATGAAGCCTGATGGGAGCAAGGGTGACCTGAAGAGTTGTGTCACTAAAGGAATCCTGGGGAGGCCAAGGGGAAGGAGAGAAAATGGCCTTTGTTTGACAGAAATAAAGAGTCGGCAGGACAGAAGTAAATCTGTTATTCAGGTGGTAACCTCGAAAATAGTAGGATGGGAACCTAGCAGTACAGAAGGTGTTATATCTACTAGGGGTGCACCAATAGAGATTTTGGGGGCTGATACTGATAGCCGATATTTAAGAAGGCCTATCGACTGATACTGATCCAAAACAGCTGCCAGCAGGTGGTAAGACCCATGTGGTAGAAGGGGAAGGAGGAGGGAAAGGGCGTGGGAGAGCAGATCAATGCCCCCCCGCAGTGAGGGAGGGGGCAGGGGCTGCCCAGCTAGGGTGGGGAGGATGTGGGATGGAGGCGTGGCTTGTGAGGTGGGGCAGTTCCCGCCGCTGCTTGCACCCCTGGGGACGGGTGGTGAAATGTGTACCCCCCAGATCTGCACGGCGCGGGGCAGGCTGCAGCTGCAGGATAGAGCTGGAGCTGAGCGGGGCTCTTCTTGCTAGGGACTGGGCTCGGAGCGGGCTCTGGCAGTGCTGGGAGAAGGCTGAAGCCACCCCAAATTTCTCTGCAGGTCCACTCCCAGCCCCACAGCAGCGCCTGGCGCAGCCCCGCCTCCACCCAAGCACCAGGAAAAGCCATGGCTGCGCCGAGCAGCAGTGTGGGGCTGGGAGCAGAGCTGCAGTGAAATTTGGCTGCAGCCCCCTCCCAGTGCTGCCAGAGCCCACTCCAAGTCCAGCCCCCAGCAAGAAAAGCCCCATGCAGCACCAGCTCTGGCTCCACCCTGCAGCTACAGCCTGTCCCACGCCGTGCAGATCTGAGGGACACCCCGCAACACACTCCCCGCCCTCCCGGGGTGCAAGCAGCATCGGGAGCTGCCCCCACCCCATGAGCCGTGCCTCCATCCCACAGGCCCCACTCCCCACCTGGGCAGTGCCTGTGCCTGCCCCTGCTCCCTCCCTCACTGCAGGTGGAATTGATCTGCCCCCTCAAGGCCCCTTCCCTCCCCCCTTCCCCTTCCAACGTACCAGCTAGAGGCAGCTCTCCCTGCTGCCAGCTCTGCTCCATGCTGCGCTGTGGCTGCATGCAGCATGGGCATTTATCAGCCCCATAGGGCCAATATCCAATATAGACAATTTTCTTTATATCGGTAACAATCCAATATCGGACCGATGTATCGGTGCACCTCCAATTTCTACTGGTACCTGTGGCATCTGTGCCAAATGGCTCAATGTCAGAAAAATACAACAACTCTGCTGGTACAATTAAGGATTTCAACAAATAATGTAGGACAGAGGCTATCCATGGGAAGACTTCGCTGTTATGAAACTTTGATGTCAGAGGGGACTTATGTCCATTCAGAACTTGGGAAGATAGAGAACCAGTCCTGGTAATCTTTTCAGTACATGCAGACCTCAGTTTTCATGATTCAGAAGAGTCTGAAATCAATTGACACTGATTTTCTTTGATTCTTCGAATTCTAGATGTGATCACCATCAAATCATACCAAGAGAATTCAAACCTGAACTGGCCCAATATCACAAAGATAGTACTAGTCTTCATTGCAGGGCTGCATTTTGCTGCCAAACTCTGGAAGTCAAAGGACTGATGACTGAAGGGATAATAAGTCATTTTTCTCCATACTGGTACTTGTGGTAGAATATCTATTTCCAGCAGCAAACAATATAGAAATACCATTCAGTTAAGCATAAGACCTCTCTTTACTTTGGCAATAAAACATTCAATTCATCTCTCACGTGTATTTTTTCTATTTTTTGTAAACTCTAATATGCTGGTCATAACTTGCACTATAGATTAAGCATACATAAAAGATAGTATACTACAAAGCACACTTCGCTGAACTTTAATACAAATCAGCAAATTAAGAATGATATGTAAATGAATAGTTTTTCCAAGTATTAAAACATCCTTTATTAATTTGAAAATTATTTTCCAGCAATGCGTGAACAATAGAAAACATTGCTAAAAAAGATTCTCACAACTTCAAGGATTAACTTTATTTGTTTCTGCCACAAAAGCCAAAAGGGCAATCTGTATGAGAATATACGGTTCACAATAAAAATGAAAAAACCTACTCTTTACCCTATTATTTCCTCTAAAAGAAGAGAGAAAAGTAGGGTACTAAAGTATGATTTCATTGTATTTATGCACTTCTGAGGTGAAGTCTTTCTGTGTTGACAATGGGCTCAGCATTTTCAGTATTTTTTTTTAATTGATGCCTTTAGAGTTTTTAACCTCCTAATTGTCTCTCAGTGTATATTCAGTAAAGATCTTTCTATTTAGCATTCATTCTAGTGACTGTTTCTCTATCTGCTTAAAATGCATGCACCTGGGTTACTACAAATCTACGGCACCACTAGGACTTATGAGAGTGATGCTTTGTAGTTTCACGTTAAGTCTTTTCAGTCGTTACTTTCTATTAAGTGACTTGGTAAAAAAGCCACTGTAGAGTGCTAATAATACTGTCTGTGAACTTTCATACCAGAAGTACTCAGCTTATTAAAAAAAGAATCGATTTTCTTACTATATCTAGCTGATTTATTTCTAGCTTATATATTATCAACAATTATTAAAGATTCAGGGCTTAGCAGTTAACTAACAATACTGTTGAGTATTAAAAGGTCATTTACATAGGCCCTCATCATCTAAACATAACTGTACCTTGATTATACTAAGAGGGCATCCACAAGTAAAAAAGCAATATGCATTAGACAGTATCAACACAGACAAAAAACAGGATATACAAATCTGAGAACTGGATGTACAGATCTAGATGAATAATCTGTTTACTTACCTAGGTTTACCTTACTTGATTTTCCACTTCTTTCAAATTTCTGTATTAAGAAAATGGGGGGAAGGGGGAGAAATATTAGAACACAGAAAAAAACTCCGAATATTTGCAATCGGAAGTCAAAATAATCAAAATGTTGTTAGGGTTTTATATAGATTTTTAAATGTCAGTCTTTCTGTTAAAACATGCTAAAAACAAAGCAGAAAATAACACTTCCACCCTCAAGAACCTCTACTTATAGAAACAAGGGAATTTTCTGAATGACCACGTATGTTTAACTGACACAATGCATTTAAACAATTACTTAAAAACACAATCTTAATTTCCACATCAAGTTTGAGAGGAATTATTTAACCCTGTTAGGAACAATTTCACTTTTAAGAACTTTTTGTGACTGAACACTAAAAGTATGAAATACAGAACTATAAATCACAATGAACTCAACACCTTCTTCATGCCTGATCCATTATCAGTTGAAACAGGATTCTTAAAGCATGCCCAAATTCCAAATTACACCAGTGCCCAAATAAATGTGAAAAGGCAGCTGCAGCTGCCCAAGTAAATCCCAATAACTTCATGTTACCATATACAATTGTGATGGAATTTTAGCTGAGTGCTCAGGAACAGAAAGTGGTGACACTGCAGCATCACCCGGGAAACCAAGATAATAAGTTCTAAAAATATCTGAGGTGCTTATTCAATCGATTCTGAATAAATTGGAGGCTGAGAAAAAAAGAAGATGTGCTCAAATTTTGCTGACTGATGAAAATACTGGGTTTAAGAATCGATGTGAGTTTCCTGTTAAAGTTTTATTCAAACAGTGGAGTCCAGGTTCAGATAGTCTTCCAGACAGTGCAACCTCAGTCCCTCAGTTTCCCCATTTGTAAAGTGAAGATTGCATTTACCTATTTCACCAGGATGTCATTAGGTTTAACATATTTGTTTATTACATGTTTGAGATCATCAGATATAAAGAACTAAGGGCAAAATATTACTCTATTGTTAGGCAGCAAATTTAATGTCCCTATTATTCTGACCATTAATTCCTGCCCATACACACCACTCTCTCAAATCTCATCTCTCCTTAACTCTTTGACTCTGTCTTGCCTCTGGTGATCTCTCCCTCAAACCAAATTCACCTTTCACATCCAGATACGAAACACAGTAATCAAACCTGGAAGTTACATGATTATAGTTCTTTGGAACGTGATCAATATCTAAGGCCAGATGCAAATAGCTCCTAGTCTTAGACTTCTTACCAGAAAGTAAGCATCTACATCACAAACACACTTCCACAGATGGCACCCTCAATAACAGTCTCAACAAAGACATCGAGGGAAAAAAAAGTGATGAAAACTGGGGCCACCGTGCCAGTACAGACAGCACAGCTGTCATGCTACACATGCCATTTTAGCTTGACAAAAAGTGAACATCCACACATTTAAGCTATTTACTGAGCCACAAAAAAATGCCCAATGCGCCATAAAACCTGCAGATCTACCACAAAGAAGTGGCTATTTCAGGCAACAACTTTTGTGTCACAACTTTTGAATACCAAATGTAACGTGTATACAGGTCTCTCAACCCCTCATTATCCCAAAGTGGTCCACTCTCCCCCTCCCTCCCTCCCAGCTCTGTAGGGACCCTGATACTGCTGCCATGGTTACTAGAGCACTAGGTGCTACCAGTGCTGTGGCAGCCCTGATAGTGCCGTGGGAGTTTCTGTCACTGCTGCCAGTCACAGAAAATGTCAAGCCTCTGGCAGTGGCAGTAGTGAGAGTGGGAGTCTCCAGTCCCAATCAATCATTGCCGCCACTACTGCTCGCAGCCCTTAGCCACAAGGATGAAAGACCCAATACATAAGTTTAAAAAAAATGACCAATATAACATTTCAGTTACATTTATACCAACTGTAATGAAAAGCACCCATTTAATGCTTTAAGCACCCTTAACGATTTTTAATTCAATAGAATAAAGTAGACCCTCTGATTTACTCAGATCAGCTTGAGTACACAGCAACATCAGTATAAATAAAACTGAGAAGTCCCCCATCTAGTCCAACCAATAGGCATTTCAATCCAAGCCAAAGAGAAAAAACAGGGGTTGCACACAATGCATGTTCAGTTCTATTTGTAACCCATTTTGCTATTTCCCGGGACACAGAGCCCACAAATCAATCCTCTGCCCAAGTCTCTCTCGTATCTTCTATGAAGGGTCCTGTAAATTAGACATCATCTTCAAAGTTAAAAAGAACATTTAGCTAAGGGATTATCTTGGAAAAGTAAGCTCTTCTAAGGTTACTTACAGATAGTGGTGGCTGTTACATATTATGCATATACAGGCAGTCCTCAGATTAACAACAAAATTGGTTCCTGAAAACCACGTCTTAAGTCAAAATGTTGTAACTCAGAACCGATTTTCCCATAGGAAACAATGTTATAAATGGGGATTTGGTTCATGACCCAAGGCCCAATACCTTATTTTCACCAAAAATAACCCAGAATTTTGTACTCAATCAATTATAGATGAGTAATATAGCTACATTAATGTATTTATATTGTAAATAGCAATCATATTGATTTGGAAGGACTTCTTTGAGAAGACTTTGCTGGACTTTTTTAAGGGCTCTTGGCTGGAGTCTTCTCTGGAGTCTTGGCTGCTTTCTTAAAGAAAGCGTCCAAGGAAGTTTGGACAGATGTTCTCCAGGGAGACTGGTGATGCAGCAAAGTTGTTCGCTGGCATGGCTTGGCATCAGTTCAAGCATTGTGAAGTTGAAACTGATGTCAGAAAGTTGAAACAGGGTATCAATTTATAAATGTTGTAAGTGTAAAATGTTGTAACTCGAAACATTGTAAGTTGAGGACTCCTGTATCACAATCTTAGTACCAATAAGATAGAATAGCAAGGTAAAATAAGTTTTCCCAGAAAATGACAAATTATCAAGTATTTAGAGGTGAACATGTATAATAAATATGGTGGAGTGTAGCCACTAGTTGCCTGCACTTTTTCTGTCCTATGGAAGACTTCATCTTGCTGTTTTTAAGCGAATAACTTTACACGGGCTAAATTCATCTGAATTAAGTTTTTGGAATTTCAACTTAATGGGGAGGCCTTTTCAGTATTCATGAAGAATGAGCCATATAAACTGAGAGTACTGGAAAGTGATAATGCCACCTTTCTCATTGTTTCTTTTAGCCCTGGTGTTTGACTAAGGCAATATATCAGAATTGGCAAAAAAAAATAAAAATAAATCTACTTGTGGTAATGAAAGCAACATATTCTGATATGCGAGATAAGACCCAGTATATCACAAGTTCAGAAGTGTGCAGGAGAAGTTTGAATTTATTAAAATTAGAGAAGTAGCAATTTTAAATACATCAAAATAAAAACTCTTTAAATTTACACTGATTAGATATTTGACAGTAATGATGCCAAGAGATTACTGGATGCATATTCCGCTAGTAGTTAAGACCAAAATGAAAATACTCAGTACAGTATCTGTTGCTCCACATAGGTTTTCCAAAAGTCTGGGTAAAACATACAATACCAATAGAGGTGCACCTATATACCGGTCCAATATTGGATAGGTACCAATATAAAGAAAATTGACTGCATCAGCAATCAGCTTTTTTTTGCCTGATATGACTGAGACTTTGGCTGATAAATGCCCATGCATGTATGCAGCCACAGCACAGCACGCAAGTGGCGAGGAGCACAGCCTGGCAGCTTGGAGAACTGCGTGCGGCTGGTAATACTGTTGTGGTGGAAGGGGAGGTGGGAGGGAAGGGGCGTTGGAGAGCAGATCAAGGCCCTGTGGTGAGGGAGGGAATGGGACAGGACCTGGGGCAGGCGCTGCCCAGCCAGAGTGGAGCGGGGTGCAGGATAGAGCCGCAGGTCTCAATGATGCACGTGCCCCAGGAGGGCATGTTGCGGGGGAGGGGAGGCGTGTGCCCCCTGGATCTGCACGAGGCGGGGTAAGCTGCTGCTGTGGACTGGGTCCGGGGATGCACTGGGCTCTTCCTGGTGGGGGCTGGGTCAGGCTGTGCTCGGTTCGGGCGGCAGCGGTGGCACTAGGAGGAGGGGTTGGGGGGGCTGCAGTCCGTGTCTCTCCCCCCTTCCCCCCGTTGCTCCCCTCCCAGTGCTGCTGCCACCCACCCCAGCCAGCCCTTGCAGGGAAGAGCCTGATGCAGCCCTAACCCCAGTGGCAGCCCGCCCAGCCCTGTGCAGATGCACTCCCATGCCTTCCCAGAGTGCTTACAGCAGCGGGAGCCACCTCCCTGCCCCCGCACTACCTAGACATGCCGTAAGTCCATCCCGTGCCCTGCCCCAGGTGAGCAGCACCTTCCCCAAGCCCTGCACCAGCCTCGCTCCCTCCCTTACCGCAGGGGCCCCAATCATCCCCCCCTTCCACCACAACAGACTTACCAGCCAGACATTTCTCTTCAAGGTCCCAGTAAATACCAACAATGCTGTTTAATTCACAGGGTAAGATTACTTATGGGATCCCTGTCTCCTAATGTGAAAACTAGATTTGCATGTTTTATCCAAGCAGTATCTTGCATAGCAATAGGCAATAAATTTAGTTGAAAGACATTCCTTTCTTGCTAAAACTACTCTATATTACATAAAAACAATAAAGAAAAAAAAATTAATTTTCTCCCCACTAATCAAATGGGTGTACTTTTACACACACATAATATATGTAATACATACATACATACATATATAAAATTCTCTGTCTTTATTTTACAATGCATAATATAATGAATTATGCATTGTAAAGACAGAGAAAAACTCTGCACTGATAATGTTGTGTTCAAAATGTATTGTCAGTAGCACAACTAAGTTGTAACTAAAGATAAAAAAAAAAGTTTATAAACGTCAAAGTTTTCACCCTATTCGTGACTTAGTTCTGGATGAAGGAGCACGTTTCAATCCTTCAAACACTTAATGTAATAATTTTACTTACAAATAGGGAATAATTATTCCATGTTTTTTGCAGAAACCATGAAAAAGCAGCTTCCACGAACTCCATGAAAATGGTGATCCCTGCAATTTTAGCATAGAATCACGAGGTGGGGAAAAACTTATTAAAAATAAAATACTGTCTCCCCAGTCCTCAGGACTGCTAGCATGAATGGGAGCAGTAAAAAATGGTGTCGGCCCCCCACTCACTCCTGCCAATCAGAGGTGAAGGGTGAGGCTGCACAATAGGCAGACTTGTTAACCAATCAAGAGACAAAGGGCAGGGTGAAGATGGTGCTGCCTAGAATTTTTCCCTCGCCTCAGCAGGCATTAAGTAGATCCCAACTTACAAAGGGACCTTGGGAGATTTTACCTCTCTCTCAA